ACTAAAAACAAAAAACAAAACGAAACAGTGTTTTTTTTTTTTTTTTTTTTTTTTTTTTTTTTTTTTTCTAATGCTTGAAACAAAACAAAACAGTTTTCTTTGAACTAATTGAAAAGTGGTTTCTGGGATTAAAAAAAAAGGAAAAAAAAAATCCGTTGTTGGACTTGAAAGCATTTTGGCTTTTTCAAGGAGTAGGCCACCAACCTTTTCCTTTCAATTTCACTCCCAAACAAAGCCTACAAAGCTCTTTGCCTTTTGGAATTTTGCATGAGTCGCTTGATCCAAGGCATCTTAAGACCTAATGATATATGCCTTATTTAAAAGGAAACGCACAAATTTTTTTCCTTGTTGTGAAAATAAGGGGTTTAGTGCCATATGATTGTCTCCCTCCCAACATTTCCGCGTGAGATTCTATACACCATGATTGGATACACCATGATTGGTTTTGACTGCTTTTTCTTCTGAGGAAGATCTTATTTTTGACTCTTGAGTCTTGAGAGTCCCAGCTCTTTCTTACTGGGTGTGAAATCCATTCGGGGTAAGTCCTTTACAATGTAAAACTACATGAAACCAGAAATTAAGGAAGAGTTTTACTGTCCGCGGGGGACACCTTATTTGTACAACTATTATAACAACCGCATAATTTAAATTAGATGGCTTTTACGATGCATGTCATAACAGTATTATCTATAACATTCTCTCACAGTATACAGTGTCGTTTAATTTAAATCGAATTGTTAAAAGTAATGAGTCCTTACGATGCATATGATGGGTTGTCCCGACTTTAGAAATTATAAAAATATTGATATTACACTATTTAAGACTGTCGGATTTTATAAGGTTCTATTATTTTCGCATACTTTTTTCAATTTGATTTTAGTGTAATATGATGTTTGGAAATAATTTACAGATATAGATATCCTACTATTAGTGGAAACCTTAATTAAAAGAACATAGAATTTTCCACTTTAGTAAAAGAGCAGCTACACGAGATCTTTTATCTACATATATATTTGTGCAATCACAACAATTAGTTTGCTTTCAGACCCACATAGTGCATATCTTGTAGTTCAGTATACAATATATCTATTAAACCGAGTCCTCATTATTATTAAAAAAAAAAAAAAAAAAAAAAAACCTGTGTTGGGTAATTAGTGAAATAAACTGGCTCTTTTGGGGCATTAGACACAAAAGCAAGCTTGCTTGTACTGGGACTATTTGAGGTCATTAATTTCTTCATCACTTTTTCCTTTTGTTATGAGGTGGAGGCTGGTCTTCAGTCACACCAAAGTTCTTATTCCGAGGTTGTCAAGTTTTTCTTTTTTCTTTCAGAAATTGATCTTTTTCCGTTCAAAAGGAAGACGAGAAGAATGGCAAGTCAAGAGCCAAAATGCGTCAAATATTTCATTATCATTTCAACTGTACTGTTCAGATGAATCACCAGCAAAGTTTGCAACATAAAAATTTTCCTAGAAAACAACAATATTCCGTGAAAACAAACAGTACACATCACCAATTGATCCCCACCCCACCAATTTATTCTCCATTCTTGTTTGTGTTGTGTTTGTGAACTGAGAAGCATTTCTTGTGTTCCAACTGTGGGGATTCTTTTTCAGGTGAAATTTCTATTTTGTGTGTCCCCGCAAGGTCTCAAAAAGTTTCAAACTATTTATGATGGTAAACTCACTAACATGTCACTATTTAACCACCTTTGCTGAATCAAAAGTGAGAACAAAATAATGAGACTTAAACGATATACTTTATTTTTTTTATGGTTGTGGGGAACAAAATCAATTCCCAAACAGGCTAATAATCATGAAGTTACATTGAAAGAGATGTAACACCAAAAAACACAAAAAGCAAACCTGTATTTTATAAGAAGAATAAACGTTTTGGTTATACATGAGTGGGAGAACAAAAAAAATGCATTAATATTAACCTACAAGAAAATACACTTGTTTGTATATGGAGAAAATTGAAGTTCTTGTCTAGTGCTATTAGGTTTTTTTTTTTTTTTTTTTTTTTTTTTTTTTTTTTTTTTTTTTTTGACGAATGGAAAATATGTGTTAGTGCACCCTTATTCGTAGTACACCACCTCATTCTTCTTCTTTTTTATTTATAGGGATTTTCTCTAATAATCCGTGTAAAAATAAATTATTAATAGTTTTTTTTTCAACCGTTCAATATATATTAAAATTTATCCGATTTAACAGTCAAAAACTGAGACTACTCATAAAGCGGAAAACTCCCTTATTTATAATAGAATTAGTAGTTTCATACGTGAAAAGAGTGGAACACAAAATAAAAGAAGGCTCGTGAAAAAGCAGCAATATTTGGAACTCTAATGTTAGCACAATGCTTTACCGATGTAAATAAAGTCTACATGCAGCTTCAGATAAAAGAAAGGGAAATTAAAGAAGAAAATGACACGAAAAAGAACAGAAATGAATGCAATACTTCTAAAAAATAATTAACTAGAAATTATGACTAAAAAGAAAATAAAAATAGAAAAGGATGATCATGACATTCATTTTAATCACTTTTCATAATCGCAAAATCATGAAAAAAAAGATTAAGGCCATGGGAAGGGTAATCTTTTTCCGCATTATTCATGATAGTGACCAATTAAACGGCTAAAATTAGAGAAATTCTCTTGTACACTTGACTTATTGATAGATTATGTTTTTCTAACCGTTAAATCTGTGTATTTTTTGACTTTTACGTGAATTTATGTAAATTTAACAGATATAAAACCCGATCTACCGATATATTAACGTCTTTTAAAATTATCAGATGGGTAAATTTGCCCAAACATTATTCTATGCTTTGTATAGCAACGTCATACGATTTGCTAGTTCATTAGATATTTAGATGTGGTAGCAAAAGTGAGTAATTCGTATACAAGCAAAACAAGTATTAAAACATTGTAGAGAATAAGTACATGATTTGAACCTAGTTTAGAGTTTGTTTAACATCTAAGAATGAATACTAGAATGAAAAACTTTCGAGTTTAGAAATGTAATAGTAGGCAAAGACTATTGTTTCACGAAGAAGTAATAACCATCCTACTCCATAACATGTTATTGATATGCGCAAAAATATCATTTTTAAGTATATAATTGATAAACATCTATAGTTTCATTAAATTAAAAGAGTATATTTTAAAAAGAAGTTAAGAATCAATAATTCATTTTTAAAGCTAGACATACATAAGTAAATGATTAATTAACGAATGATGTACTAAAATCAATCAATAACTTATTAAAAACCCAACTAATGATTTACGATTATTATTGAAGAAAGACATCTTTGTTAGTTTAACAAAACTTGAAGCATTGCTTACTTTTGAAAGGGCCATCCACCGTAATTTTTTAAAATAATTAAAGGTAGAGGTATAATATCATATTTATACTGTACAACAACAATGCAATAGATATATAACAACAAAGTAGAAGATTGCTCTTTCTAAAAATAAATAAAAAATAAAAAAAAATTGCGGTGTAAGAGATAAAAGACAAATTGATATTATTTTGCTACAAAGATTAGTAGGAGATAGAACATGCGTGCTATGGCATGGACCATCATCAAAGAGATGGGCCTCTTAAATCATTAGGAAACGCACTCAACCGCATTCAGTGTTTCTTTTCTTTATTCAAGATTCAAGAGATCAGGCTATCCCAAACATAAAAGCCTATCATGAGTTTGAAATATGAATTCGGATACACTTTCACACCCAACATTTCAAAAAAGTATTTTTCTCTCTCTTCTTTTTTTTTTTTTCTTTCTTTTCCTTGTTATTTTGCCAAGTAACTCCACGGCTAATAATAACAGGACACCCAAATCTTTTCCGGCAAATGAAACTTGATGTTGATATATTAATACCAAAGGAAAAAAAGAAAAAAAAGTGAATTCTGTGATAGTAAAAGAAATGTGCCCGTGCACCTCTTTTAATTCAGATATTTACTAGATTCGGTTAGGTCTGTACAAAAATACGATATGATATTAAATACGTGTGTCCTTTTACTAAAAAAAAAAAAAAAATAGTGATATGTGTACTATTCTTTGTCACGTGAAGCTTCATTTGACCCCAAAAAAAAAAAAAAAAAAAAAAAAAAAAAAAAAAAAACTTATACAGGAAAATAAACTTAAGTTTGCTGTACAAACTAGGAACATATAATCAAGATTCTCATAACACCGAATGTGACTTGTACATGTATATTCATATAGTAAAGATTCTTCTGTTTAAAGATTATTTTTATTGGTGCTCTCTAAAGCTTAAGGTCATTCTCAATGTACTCTCTAAGCTTTTTTTTTTTTAAAAAAAAAAATTATGCTTCACCTCTTGAAATTAAATGTGATTTTTCATATATGGTATGTTAATGTGTTTGAAAACTTTTTGTGTAGTTGCACGCATAACTTTTAATTTTGAAGTATAATTGGAATCTTTTTTTTTTTTTTAATGGAAAGCAATTTTTTTTTTTTTTTTTTAGTTCCTCTGCTTGAAAGGGTCCTGTCGTTGTTTAGGAGTGGAGGCGAAGCACAATTCCAATGCAACTATGCAAGGTTACTTTCTCGGGACCATCTTTCCAGAAGATTGAAGAGCTCATAGTTCTACTAGTAATCAGATCGTTACAGAATTTCCAAAACCCTATCCTGGCTTAAAAAGCAAAGTCACTTCCAAATTTTTTTACTTTTATTTGTTCTTTTTTTCCCCCCCTTAAATAGAGACGGGACCGAGAAAACTGGAGCCCTCCTGACGTTTTGCCTTGACTAAAACGCATTAAAGAAAGTTCCGTATATAAATATATATTTTTAATAATACCCACTTTGATTTCTAGCCAGAGAATTCTTGATTCGGGGCCAATTAATTCTCTGTTTCCAGAGCTCTGACTCCCCCACTCTCTAAAATCTGAAAATCCAAAACCTGCGATATTGACTTAATTTCACTGCGTTCGCACTTGAAAGAACAGGAATTGAATAAGGACATTGATGGTGCTCATTAAGCATAGAATCATGATATCATACATTGTAATGTACACATAGAGAACATCATAAAAATGGTTACTTAAAAAAAGAAGAAGAAAAGGGTGTTGTTCCTAAGGGAGAGTCAAAAGGAGAAATAGATAATATAATAATAATAATAGTAATGGGTTAAGAATTAATTAGCTGAAAAAAGAAACGATAGAAAGTGGCCTACATTACAGAACTAGAACACAACTCAATGGACCCGTAATGAAGAAGCTCCTGAATCATTTGCTCTATGTGATGATCATCCTCAAGAAGCATAAACGACGTCGTTGTTGTTGTCGTCGTCTGCTGGTTATTCTCAAGTTTAACCTTCTTAACCGAATCATGATGAGAATTGGCCGCCGTTTCTTGGTGATCAAGCACGGCCGGTCTCTTCTCCGGCGACTTAGCCATGGACGTTTCGTTCGGTTTCGCGAGAATGGCGTTGGCAGAGATGGGAGTGGGGTTTGTGGTTGGCGTTTGAGGTTCTTGAGCTGAACCGGTCTTGGTCATTTGCAGAGACGCCATGTAACATCTGTGGAGTTTGGCAGTCAGAGTGGCCGAGAGGAGCTTTGAAGCCGACGACTGAGACGCATTGGGGTTGTAAGGGAAGTTGGTGCGGGCTCTCGGCCCGCACATCAGCCTCGCCGCCTCGTCGTAGGCTCTCGCCGCGTCCTCCGCCGTTTCGAACGTCCCCAGCCAAATTCGAGTTTTCCTGCGCGACAGAAAGAAACGTTTCTGCGTTTAGACAAAGAAACGTTCGTGCTAAATTTTTATTTTTGCTTTTTTTTTTTAGTATGTTGGTCGGACTTACAATAATGGGTGGCGAATTTCGGAGACCCAAGATCCCCAGTGCCTTTGTCGAACGCCTCGATATCGCTGTTGCGGTCTGGCCATTGTTGTTATTTTGGGAAAAGAAACGTTTTTTTTTTTTTTTTTGTTTTCTTGCTTTTTGGTCTGGAAAGTGTTTGTGAAAATGCCTCCACTGGGGTTGGAAGAATGAAGGTAGAGAGAGCAGTGCCAGTTAAAGATTGGGCCGAGATGGGGTTTTTGTAGTTGGGTTATGTGACAGCAGAAGAGAAAAACTGAGGTTCTTTTTCTAAAGCAAACTGCCAAACTGGCAACCAAATTTATTTTCTTCTGGGACCCACTTGGATTTTTGAGTCTAACCTCTTCTTGCTTCTTCTTTTATTTTTTTTATTTTTTTTTATTTTTTTTTAAGTATTAGTTACCAGTTGGCTAAGTTTAAGCTATGAATATTAAATATGTATGCCAAGTGGAAATTTCAAAATGGCCAAATTCAATTCACATGAGTATCATGGCTACAATTAAAACGCTGTTTCAGGACAAAACAATAGAACTGAAGTCATCATACCGTTGCTTTATGAACTATTTATTCTTCAGGAAAATCTAAGGTCTAGTCTATAACAGATTCATGTGAGTGTTGGTCTAAGCACAGATAACGACAAATATAGTTTGTTCACTATAAACAATTGCAGCATATAAACGTATATATAAACCAGGGAGTCTTAATAGTTTGTTTGTTCGTCCGTCTGTTTTATTTATTTATTTATTTTTTGTTGTTGTGAAAACATAACGAGAATATTGTAATCATAATTTGTTTAAGGAATCTTGGAATTTCAGTTCCATCTTTCCAAACATAAGACTGTAATCGATCGAGAAAATGAGATTGGTTCTCGAATGATAAACAATTATGATCAAATATCACAATATGATCTATAGTACTAAAAATATACTTTCACAGGAAAAAAAAAAAAGGGGGATAGTTATAATGTGCATCAATTACTATGCACCAATATGATTGGGTCAATCCCTAGCTATTATGGTAGACGCATATTTGGACCACAATAATTACCCCTCTAACAATCCAAATGATTTAACCAATAACCTACAATTCAGTATATATTACGGCATCAAGTCTCATTAGAAAGATACCAAGAATTGATTATATATATATATATATATATATATATTTATCGGCGAATTGATTATATTTTGTCCCTCAGTGAATCATCTAAAGCCACATATATATTTACAAACTGAATACATACATATATATATATATTCTTATGCATTGCAAGTAGTGGAATTTGTTGTAGAGAGCATTCACTTGCATGCCTTACTTTTATTAAAGAAAGAAAGAAAAAACGCAGTAGTTGATTAGGTCATGGCGTGAAATGGGGCGGGTTTTAGTTTGGTCTTATTAGTGTCTTGATTTTGTGTGCATGCAGCTCATGCCAATGGCTGCTAAAATTGGAAACATCGCCATATGGGTGTGCTATTTTATCAAGTTCAGAGAAGACGAGCAGTTTTCGTCGTGTTTTTAGGGTTTGTCCATGTCTCAATGTTTTTTTTTTTTTTTTTTTTGTGGGTTGGGCCAACCGTGTGGTTAAGAATATTATTGACGTATACATTTCCAAGTTCCAACTCACTTATAATATTGCTCGGTGAGAAGAGCATATAGCGTTGGGAAGAAGATAGATATAAACTCAAGATACACACACACACACACACACACACACACACACACACACACACACACATATATATATATATATATGCTAATATAAATAAAGGAATTATCGTGCTTTTAGACACATCATTATAAGATGCAAATTGGTAGCTGCTTTTTTTGACTCTTGTTGGTTCCTTGTGATCAGAAACCTTCCACATGCAACTGTTTTATGCATGTTCCTCAAAAACCACAATCTCCTAATCTTTGTAATCCACTTTGCATAAATTCAAAGAGACGTATCGAATTTATGGCTAGTTGGCAATTACCAAATCATTTTACGTAATGGCAAATATGAAAACTTCTTTACCTGGCATAGTAAGCAATGTAAAATCAATGAAAACTTCACAAACTCCTTGCACGTACAAATTTTAGTTTTGCATGTTTTTGGTAAGGTAAAGGAGACAAACTTTCTAGTAGAGGAAAATAAAATACACAAATGTACAAGTACTGTTCTAAAATCCTCGTGTAGTAATGTTTGAATATTCCATTTCACAAGTTTTATTTAACTGTTATCATATTCCATTTGTCTTGAGCAATCCTTGCGTTACCAATAGGTAAATATTAAACTTTATGTTTACAATTCCTTTTATAAACATCCAACTTATCTCATATAATTGGACAAGACAAACTTTTTTGTTTGATAATGGGCATGTTAATCAGAGTCTCAAAGGAAAAAAAAAGTTAATTTTTAGCAAAAGGGCAGGAAAAGAAAGAATATTATGGAATAAAGATGAACAGATCATGATCTATAATCACAAGAAATAAATGATTACAAGTATAATCAGCAGCACATGAAAGGATATATGGTATCCAAAAATCCAAATGGGCCCAAAAGAAATATAAAAAATAGATTTGGTGTTCATTCTGATAAACCTATCATGGTGAACCGGTCTCATGAAAATATGAATTTCTCGGAAAAAAAAAAGTCTATCCATTAAGAAAATGACAGAGAAAAGAGGTCATATCTCATACAAAATAAATAATTATTTTTAATGCATATAGAAAATTCTTCTGGATTATAAAAGAAGCTAACTAGGATTTTAAAATATTACCGTTACGTTTTTCCTATAAGAAGACTTTTTCTTTCTTTCTTCCTCCCTTTTTTTTTTTTTTTTCCTTGCCTAAGAAAGATTTAGAAAAGGAGAGAAGAGCAAGCAGCATGTAGCATTGTATGCACTGATTAAAGAAACATTATTTTTCAAAGAAAAATAATAATAAGGAAACACTTAACTTTGTCTCGATCTTGGTTTACAGCTAACCCCATGACTTATATATCCTTAAATCACAGGAATAAGATGGACCCACATCCAAACGCGGGAAATGGGACCCACTGTATGCATTTTTGTATATACTCTTAGATCATAGCAGAATTTTTAGCATAATAATAAAACCTCCCACGGTTTTATGCCCTACTTCGCGTCAAAGAAACTCACATGCAAAACACATAAATTCATTGAACAAATAACAAAACGTCAGAAATTTGGCAGATGTGGGATGAGCAGCATAACATGTGGTTTTTCTATCAATCACAAACATTGCGCTCAGTAGTCTATTTTTCTATGTTGGTATTTAGCAGCTTGCATACACACCTATACTTTTTTGTTATGAATAGTAGCTTTACACATACTTTTTTGTTATGTATAGTAGATGTCCACCTCAGTCAAAGTTATTATGTATGTCAGTCAATTTATGTTAGAATCTTACTATATAAATAGTAACTGTAAATACTAAGTACTATGTAAATAGTAATTGTGAATAATGTCAAAAATTTTCCTATAAATAAAGTCCTAAGGCTTTTCATTTTATATACCTTCAACTCTATCTCTCCAGTTTCTCTCTCTAAATTTTTCTTCTTAGTTTTGCATTTTCTTAGTTTTCATAACACATTATCAACACAAATGTTCTATTCCTACTGTGATTGTCTATATTCATTAACTCAAAGAAAGTAGACTCTGATCCAATTACAAGCATCTACCTTAAAGTCAAAAGAAAGTAAGTTTTAGCCCTAGTCCTACTACAAGTTTTTACCTGTATTAATTAAAGTGAAATGTATGTAAATATACTCTATTATTTTATATTCATATAAAGGAGGGCTATGGCACCAACGTATTATAATTTTTTTGTTATATACCTTTCAAAAAGTTTACCGAGTAGTTTGGCGTGTTTATATTCTTATAAATGGATGGTTGTGCTGCCTGCAGGTAATAATTTCTTATTGCACTTTCTGCATGCATATTGCTATTCTCATTTATTTATTTTTCTACATCATTTGAGGTATCCAATTGTAATTTTTCTTCCACTTCTAATGGTAATATAACGAATTTTTACACCACTATTAACAACTATATAACAGCTAGTTTTTTTACTCTATAAAATGCGGGTTTTCTTAACCCATACAATTCATTTCTCATCTTCTCTTCTCCCTTCTTAATATTTTTATCTTTCACTTATCATCTTCTCTTAACTATTCTTAATATAATCTTCACGATATGGTGAATATGATGATGATTTGTTTGTTATTTTAGCAGTCATTTTCTATATTTTTGCTCTTTTTATTGGAGATCATTCTCCATACAATTTTCAGTTTTTCCTTACAATACTCATACTTGTAATATTTTCCTTTTTATTTATTGCTATTATGATTAACATGTAATCTCTATTGTAATAATAATATTGTGATTCTTATTTTATCGATGTTCTATTATAGTTATCACTATGTCAAATCTTGCCAAACTTGAGTTCATTATAGTCGACATCACGGGAAAGAATTATGTGTCTTAGATCATAGATGTAGAAATGCATCTAGAGTCAATGAGTCTAACTGATACCATTAGAGAAAATAATAACAAGTCACCACAAAAAAAAGGCGAAAGTAATGATTTTCCTTCATAAACATTTTAATGAAGGCTTGAAATGAGAATATCTCACGGTTAAAGATCTACTTGTCCTTTGAAAAAGTTTGAAGGAGAGATACGACCACTAGAAAGAAGTCGTACTTCCCGCCATTAGCGATGAGTGGAATAATTTACGTTTACAGGATTTTAAGAAAGTCAATGACTACAACTTTGCCAGGTTTAGAATTGTTTCGCACCTAAATTTTGTGGAGTAAATATCACAGATGGTGAAATGTTAGAGAAAACCTACTCCACTTTCTATGCATCTCACATTATCTTGCAATAATGATGAGTGAGTTTTACTCGCTCATTTAGTATCATTTTACACTTAAATATCTAGTTGGTTTTTGAGGTTTTTGTTAGTTTTTATGTGCGTTTTCGTTCTTTGTTTGAAGGTTAGGTGAAAGTCTATGATTTGGAAGGTTTTGGACAACTTTTGGTGGAAAAAGACAGCAAACATAGCACTTAGGCGCCAATTTATAGCTTTTTGGTGCTCAGTTTACAGAACCAAGACATTTGGGCAGAATGGGTAGCGTTTTGGCGCCCATGATTTTTTTTCACATACAGTGCCGCAGCGCTAGGAGCTTAGCGCCGCGGCGCTACGATGCGAG